CAAGACTGCAACAACAAGGCCAATGCCCATTCGTTGGAGCTCAGTAAGCCCTTTAGCATCTGATTTCCTTATTCTAGCTACAACTGGGTCAAGAATTCGGCGGTAAAAGAAAATGAAAACTGCAACGCTGAGGATGTCGAAGCTAGACATGCTAGCTGGTGGGATTTTAAAGTTTGAAACAGTAGTTTTCATGGCAGCTCCCTGCTCTACAAAGAGAGAAGCCATTTGCGTGAAAACCACCGAGTAGAGAATGGTGCAGAGCCAAATTGGGAGTAATCTTAAAATGCATTTAACTTCTTCCACTTGTGAGATTGGGCAGAGACGCCATGGGCTGAGAATGCCCTGCTTCTGGTGATCTAAATCTCTTGATGAGATATATGCAGCCCTGTCCAAGAACCTGCAGTTTACGGAGATGAAAATGAGTTAGCTCTGTATTTCAATAGTCATAGAAACTGACTGTAACTAAGCCTGTCAGGCTTTGGTTTCCAATCAGTTGGTTGGGTTGGCAATAGCATTTATCATCAGAGCTTAAAATGGGAAAATCAATTTGTAGTTCAAGATGCCCAAATTCAGCAAGATTGCTTTATTGAGCCTATGGAAGATAATTGTCTCGAAAAACCATAACTAAATCCATAAAAGTTTACCCAACTTTTAAGAACATAGACAGAGTTATGAATTTAAGCTGCACTCTTACTTGAATCCATGGGTGTAGAGGATCTTTCGGTTGCTATTAGAAGACTCTTTTTTAGCCTCGTCATATAAGTCGTCTCCACCTTGTGGCATCTCCGCCCTGCATTTCTTCATCGCAGCAACTAAGACTTGGCAAAACCTCGAAAGCGGGTTGCCATTTGGCTTGAAGTGCCTGTACCTAGCAGTCCCCCCAAGAAACAAGACCAAAGCTGCAAATGCAGATGCAGTGGATGCCCAGAACCCAATGGCCCAAACTCCTTCATCCTCAAAGTATCCCAATATGGTGTTGGAGAAAAGGGAACCAAGGTTCATAGCCAGGTAGAAGTAGCTAAAAAAGGCCACCTTTGAATGCCCCTCCTTGTTGTCCTCTTCATCAAACTGATCAGCTCCAAATGTTGCAATGTTTGGTTGGTACCCTCCATTTCCTAGGGCAATGAGGTAGATGGAGAGGTAGAATAACCAAACATGTAACTTTGAGTGTGTTCCACATGGATCTTCTTGGCTCCCACAACCTTCTGGCTTCAGCAAGAAGAGTTGGGATGATAGTGACAATGATATCAGACCCTGTTGTCAAATGCACACAAGTCTCATAAACAATGCATTGAGAACAAAACTAACTCATACTCGCTCCGATTTCAAGAGCATATAAGAAGAAAAAAAATCAAGCTAATCATACTTACTGTGACAAAGATTAGTTGAAAGATAGCACAGGTTTTGTATCGCCCCCAATACGAATCACTGAGGAAAGCACCAACAAGGGAGAAGATGTAGACCGTTCCAGTCCATTTGCTCACGTTGTTAGCAGCAGTTGCATTGTCTTGTTGCAACACCCTTGTTAGGTATAAGACCAGGTTCACTCCGACTCCGAAGAATGCTAGGGTAGCCAGACCTTGGTTCACTGGTTTTTCATCGAAGGGTCCAATAAGAGAAGCGTCAGAAGGTTGATAAAGTATGTACGGAGTTTCAAGCAAGTAAATGTTGTACAGAATAAAATCTTGCTAAGATTCAAAAACCAAAACATCCCAAGGGTAATGAAGTTTCATGTGCATCAATTTTAGGCTTTTGGGGTGATCAGAGAAATCGTTTTCAGAGTTGCTTCCAAGCAAAGTCCTAAGCATTAAGAATGGAAAAGAGAAGTTCCCAAAACTTCTTTGAAAACAAAATCAAAGCCCACATATGGCTAGAATTTATCAAACATGTTCAAGATGTTTCAGTTATTAACAAATGGTCCATCTTCTGTTTCAATCATAGCTAACTGAAATCAGACTCCTCCATAACAGATCACCGGCCAGAAATTAATAAGCATTAATGGAATTGTGGCGTGTAAACCATTTCACTATGAAATAGTCTTGGTAGCAAGAAAGGTTCCTTTCGGAAAATTTAAAAAAAAATTGGTCACCTTGCGACAAGGGCCATCCATGCAAATGCTTTCAATTTTATTTTAAATTAAATATGCAATATTTTAATAAAAGTCTATGAAAATTTTATTATTTTATTATCTTTTTAACACCGAAATTGACCTAAATTCGTGCGGTGATCGTGGTTGCTTTGTATGGTATGCTCCCTTTTTGTCTTTTAATAAAAAAGGCAAAAAAGAAGAAAATCTTTAGGGTGTGACAAAGTTATTTGATTTTACAGTCATGCTTTAAATTAATTAATTGCCTAATTTTACAAAATTATATTGGAAAGTAGGACATTTTCATAAACCCAGCGATGTTAATCTTAAAAAAAAAAAAACAGAGACTAGTTTTTGCGGTTACAAATAAATGAATGAAGACATTAAATTTGGGGAATTTGGGGGTGGTGGTGGGGGGCCAATTGCTTCCATAAAATTTTGTTTAGCCTAAATATTGAAGAAAAACACGTGGCAGAAACCCACGTCACTGAAGATCAAAGGCCTGATTACGTGTCCGGCACGTATTACTCTGAATGCATGCTTTCCTCACCTTCACTCCCTTTCTCAATTCTCTTGTCATGTCGTTAAGTTGAAACTAAAGTGGTAACTCAAGCCTTTAAGGCTTCTCTCTCTCTTCTCTCTCTCTTCAAGCTATGATGTCTATTTTTCTCTCTCTAAAAACATGGTGATTATGAGGTGGCTAAAACCCAGCATGCAACAAACAAAGTCTCTGCAACACTTGGTTTGGTTTTCAGTGCCAAATGTTACCTCTCCCATGCACTTATATTGTCTTTTTCCCCTTCCACTTATTATGACTTGTATTTGACAGATCACATCTCTTCCCAACACCCCCACCCCAAAAAAAAAAAAAAAAAACCTCTTCTTCCAACTGCTTATCCATAAACAAGTTTTCATTTCAGATAAACTCTGTTTTCTAGTTTGTTTGGATGTTCTTGAAAGCCCACATAAACAAGTTTTCCTAAAGTTACTGTGTACATAAGCTGTGTGAGAACCAAGCAATAAGGCAACAAGGACATCAAACTAAGCCCCAACATCAGAGGACCTTGGAAAGTGACCAAATTTTTGTTTTTGAAAATGACCAATTCAATGATCACCAAAGAAAAAAGAAAAAGAAAAGTGTGCATGAGCTTCAAGGAATTCAAGATTAACACAAACTATCAAAGAAACCCAATAAACTAAGAAATATTTGTGTGTTCTGTTTTCTTGTGGAGAGCTTACCAAGAATGATGATCCCAGCAACCCATCTTCCAGATTTTGCTCTGATTGCAGGCTGGCCATGCATATCAACTGTACCATCCAGAGTGCATGCATCTTCATCTTCTTTGAACTTGCCCTGAAAGTTGTTAAGAAAAATGGAAAAAATATTTCTTAAAGAACTATAGCAACAATCTTTATATGCTCAAAGAATGCATGTTGTCCAATATTTCTTGAGGGGAAATA